TGTTTCTCTCTAAAAATAGCACGAAAAAGCAAAAAAGAACGATTCTTATTATAAGTTACAAAAGAATATGATCTGACTTTTAATGAGCATATGATAAAAGCTACAAATAACAAAACTAATAAGAAAAAATAAGTAACTGGCATGAGTTCCCACAACGGTATTATACAAGTTGAGTGTATAAAGCGTGTTTAAAATGTACCAGAATATTGTGGGGACTTCACAGAAATTTTTGCATTGTGGGGACCTGGTTTTTAAGTGTTTGTTCAAGTCCCCACAATGTAACATCAGGACCTACCAAGCTGATCTCCAATGTGATTGGTACATTTTACACATGTTATATTAAATAAGAACACATTTAACAGATATATTATATCTTCCTATCAATCTTCACATGAATCTGTACTGTAATAGATCAGAAACTGACAGCAAAACGTGTAACAAACACAATGACGTCACGGAAAATGTGATACTTTTGATGCAACAGACATTAAATCACCCAGAGTTGAAATTGAACACCAAACAAGCATAACTTTTGATAAAAGGATAAAAAAACTATCAAATAGTAAAAGTCACGTTCAATTATTATGTCACAAGTGGTTTTTACGAATAGATTCAGGTTGAGTGTAGTCTGTTGTCTATTCATCAAAACTGGCTTGCCTGGTGACTAGCCAACATTATCCCTACATATCCAGTGAGATCTTATAGTAGTTATGCAAATCTGTGTTATCGTAATCCCTTTAATTGACCTTTTGCGTAAAATTTTGATCTAGACAAAAATTTCATCACACCTTGAAACAGCATAAAAAAATAAGTAATAGTAAACGAAATGTTATAAAATGCGGATCATATACCCAGCAAATTTTTCGTTTTCAGTCATTTTGTATTACGCACGCGAATTTGACAGCCAGAAATCCCTTGGGACTGTCAATTTCCCGTTTGTAATGCAAAATGACTGAAAAACGGAAAATTCGTAGGACATTATCCGCATTTTGTTTTGCTTTTTCAAGCTGTGATAAATTTTTGTCTAGACTTGTCTATAGATCAAAATTTTGTTTTTCTACGCAGAAGACCAATTACCATTTGTTTTTTACGCAGAAGATCAATAACATGTGGGAAAGTTGATCTTGGCAACGGTATGCATGTTACTAGGGATTGCGATTTTTGTGTCTACTGTGTAACAGTAGACACTAATGCTGTCGTCCGAGCTGGATCGGAATTTGGGTGTTGTATGCGAGGATTCTAATTTCGGAGATTTCCGAATTAGGCGCATTTACCCTAATACCCATAAATGGCTCGATCAAGACCCGATCACAGCTCGATCATCATATTTAATGAAGCATAGGGAATTTCCGGATTTCGCGGTACACAATTGCCAAAACCACAGTCAATTAGTATATAGAATCAATTTGAGGACGAGACTGCATGGGTTGGCCAAAACGGTCCGATCATTTAATATGGCGGAACGAAGGCATGCTTTGATGCTTTTGCTGATCTCTTTGTGCTTTCATCGCTATTTGCTCAATATTTTTAAGTAAGAACTTGAGTATATTGGTACAGTTTCTTCAGTATTGAGGTAAGTTGGTTCTAATTTTAAAATCGAACACTATCTGGGACTTTATCGCGTAAAATACGCGATCATGTTAAGAGTATGTAAATATGTATTCAATATTTTGGCGAATGTTTTGCATATCGCATACGTGCAGTCGAGAATTACGACTGCACATTTACAGTACCATGCAAGCCGACTGTATCATCTGTATGTGTAGTGTGTTGCCTATATTTTTGCCGACCTAAGATTTTGTTGTTTCGCAAAGAATTTTAGAATTTATAAGCAACTGTCTTACTTTTTATACTGTATAAATTAAATTCACTATCATTTTATATTAGAAGGAGTCCTGTATTTATATGGCTATAATGTTCCACATACAATCAAGCACGTGTAGTTACATTTACTTTTTGTTGTAGATAGTGTAGTTGTATGTACTAATTAGTCTGGTGATATGCATAAGTTTTGTATTCATATATTAGTTACATTGCAGAATTTTAACTCTTGTTTACTTTTAAAAATGACTTCAACTTGCGTACAACTCTAACCATAACGTTTGCACTTCCTCTGTTTGCAACAATTTACTTATAAAAATATTTGCTACACTTCAAGAGAGGAATACTTCAATTCAATTTAAGGACTGTGGACTTGTTATAACTATCCAAAATAATGAATCTTATCTTGATGTATTTACTTGACAGTTGTACAGTATGTGAAAGCTCACAGCAACTATAATGTTCTCAAACAGAATGGATTTCTTTATGCAATTTATCGACATTATTGCCAATCGAAAAGCTGTTTGAACACTGAACACACGTAGGACAAAACTTATCGGAACAGTGGAACATAAAATGTGAATGACTGGATATCGTTTTGCCTTTTGCTAACTATATTGTGAACCACTAGAACTATGCATGTATTGTGTAGTTTAATGTAAATATGTATATGTCTAATAATTGTATGAAAAGTGCTGTATACCCAACACATGCATTACAATGATGTTTGTGTGTATCAGTTTCTATGGTGCCATCAGTTTCTATGGTGGTTCTCCACTCCACAACTTATTCCTATCCATATTCAACTTTCTTTTTTCCTCACAATGAAATCACAGTAGACACATTACGCTATGGCGTACCTATTTTTTTTCCGGTAGCGCTGTAAGGCATTAACGTCGATTGAAAGCAGACTGTTATCCTGTGAACCAGGGGGGAGCGGGATGCAGTAAGTAATGCACAAAATGCACCAAATTTCAATTTAAGCCTAAAAATGCAGATAAACTATATTAACTCACAATGTACAAGTCCCCACAATGTTTGTTGTAGATTTTTACACAGTAACTTATACACTCGACCTGTATAACAACATTATGAGGACTTAGACAATTGAGTCCCCACAATGTTTGGTACATTTTTACACAGTAACTTATACACTCGACCTGTATAACTACATTATGAGGACTTAGAGACAATTAAGTCCTCACAATGTTTGGTACATTTTTACACATTAACTTATACACTCGACCTATATAACGACTTCCTGTGCAAGTCACAACGTTTGGTAGATTTATTCAAACAATCTGTATAACGGTAGAGGGGAATTTACCAATTTCTTGAACTCTTCGTACTTAAATTTGTTCCTGTGAAAAACGCAACAAATCGCGTAATTGTGCCGGTCAATGACCGTGACCTGCAACTTATTTCCAGGCTTGTTTTTAATAAATCAGTATTTAACTACCTGTCAATACTTTACACATCTATATGTTCAGCTTTGTGCTATGGAAGCAAGTTCTCAGGATACTTCAATACTATAGTTTTGGTTCTATTGGGACACCCTGTGAAGAAAAACAACGTGTTCACTCATTGTGAAAGTGCACACATTAATTTCCATAAATATGAACAAAAAGATTTGGTGTAACTCCAAAGTGTGTGACATGCACCTAAATAACTTTTATTTGTTGCTGTTGTTTAGTTTTATTTGCTGCTGTGTTTCAGTTCAAAAATCTTGTGCTTGAGTCTACAATCTACGCCTTACAGTATTGGCTACAACTCCCGCATCATGTTGATTTTTACAAGTTGCCTATGTTGGATTTCTACTTTGCTACTTCAGTACGTTGCGTGATATGTGACATGTACTCTTTCATTGGATTAAATTGTTTAAAATTGTGCTATTTGTTGAGTTCAAATATTAATAAAATATGTGTGGAAGATTTCTACCAAAGTGTCAGTACATAATGGTCATTTGCTGAACAATAGAAAAGCAAAAAAGACAGAGTCCTTCACAAGAAAAGAAAAATATTCACCTCTTCAATTTAGGTAATAATATTTAAAAAATATAAAACTTTTTTTTCCGTGAAAACACTGTGCCTTTCAGGTGTCGTGCTTCCACACAATTTCTCGTTTTCCCAATTTTCACTCGTGTTCATATAACTCTTTATAAAATAACCTTGTAATAACGCCTGCGCTGATTGGTTGAAAAGCGAAAAATCCCGTGTTTCTATAACGCTATAGAACACGGGAATTTTCCATGAACCTCAAAACAACACACTAAAACAAATGTTTTCGTCTGAAATATCGATTAAAAATCTTCGTCAATCTGAAATTTTGTCAAACAAGCAATGGATAACACTTACCAAACGTTTTTTCGCTTTAAATTTTCTTCAACTTTTTCAGCGTGTTTTTTCCATAATTTTGCAGTCGGCAAAACTGAAAATTGATGTCGGTATTGTTGCTAGGCAACATTTTCTTGTTATTGTGTAATGAGAATATACTATTTAATCGCGTTACAAATATTGATTTTGAGTTATTATCATAAGATTATTTAATAAAGGAAATAGAAAACATGTTTTCCTGTGTTTCTAAACAGTTATAGAAACACTTGTGCTAGATTGGGAGAACTCGAAATAATATCCCACTGATTATTTCTCGTTCTCCCAAACTTGCATGCGTGTCTCTATAACTCTATAGAAACACGGAAAATGTTTTCTATTTCTTAAATATCAACACGGAAAAAATGTTTTAAATTTGTTAATTATAACATAGCACAAAGAAACTTTCCAACGTTCCGTTTTGACATTGAGTTATATCAACACAGCGCTTAGTCAATTAGCGTTCAGAATTTACAAATGCTATATTATAAAACTATTTATAATATAGCGTTTGTAAATTCGAAACCCTGATTGGTCAAGAGCCGTATTGACACAACTTAATGTCAACACAGGAAATTTCCCGCTGCTTGTAAACACGGACATTTTTTGTATTTTTAACTGTTTGACAGTGCTATATATTATAAAGCAAGTATAGACATTTCCGTATTGATATACAGTTGTATATATCGCACTATTATAAAACAAGTATAGACATTTCCGTATTGATATACAGTTGTATATATCGCACTAGTGTTGATATAAACACAAGTGCGATATATACAAATTGTCGGACCAATTGCCGGGCTAGCCATGGCATCGGGTGGTTGTGTGCAAAATAGTTCTGCTCAAATCGACAAAGATTTCACGAATAAGTGGGACCTTATTATTTCTGGAAATATTGTCTACGACAAGAAAAGACTATATTGGTGGAACAGCTATGAATTGTTGAAGAAATTAGTTGATTCTGCATTCGTGCAACGTGGCAAATGGTGGACGCCTGGCGGCAAGGCAAGAAGATTTGATAGCAGTATTTCTTAATTTACTGTAACATGGTATCCTGGTAAGCTGAATAGTTTATGCTTTAATGGAAAAATCGGGGAACAGGCTATGGATTTTCTGATAAACTTATGCATATCTACGTCTATATCTAACGAAACCAGAGGAAATACTCATGATCAAATTTAACTTTGCCGGTGTATAGAGGATATTAGTGGTGAGGAAATACTGAATTCAGCCCATAGCGCAGCCTGGGAAATATCCACTCACTCACTTGGAAGTGAAATATCTGAAAGATCAAGCCAGGTGAGATCAAATTCACCTCATTGCAGTAAAGTGATGAAACGTGACTGTGACTGTCAGTGTGGATTACTAGCTGCGGAACTAGAGGGGATTAAGCTAGATTTAGTCATAATGCAAAGAAACGTAGAGTCTAAAACAAATGTAGTTAACAATGATGAAGTAACCAAACTAAAGCAGGATCTCCATAGCGAGAGGCAAAAAAGTAAGCAACTCGAGGCTGAAAATAAGCGACTAGAAGCCGATGTAGCAATTCTAGTGAGGGGAAGAAATAACGAGGTTAACGATCTGAATAATATCATTGTGTCGCTCGAAAATAAAGTCAAGTCAATTGAAGTGTTAAATGACTTGTTAAAAACAACAGTTAGCGAACAATCAACCATGCACTGTCAAAACAATCACAATGTAAAAGCTGAACTGGGCAAATTAAATCAGCAAGATTATAATTATGTTAATCCACATGGTTAATCCCAAGACCGACTACACGCCAAAGAATCCCTCAGCGCCATTGAATGTCACCAAGACTTCAACCCAACCCATGTCAAAAATATAAAGCATAATCCCCTCCTAGTAGATTGGATTGAAAGACTACGTGCACACGGTAACGTTTTCAAGCGTTTTCAGCTGTAACGTTTTCAACATAAGCGTTTTGGCGCTTTGTTCACATTGATTATTTTTCTCGCAACGTTTCTGATCAGGCACTAGTTACCAGTTCCAATAGCTAAATTCAAACACAGTCTAGGTCTTCGGCCATTTTGTTGTCTTCTAGTTTTAAACACAAGGTTAAAGTGTGTTGTTTGTATGACTATATTAACAACAGATATATTAACAACAACAATATTAAAACATGCAGGCCTCAACCTCTGAAGCTGAAGATACCATAAGCAAAATTACCGTGAATACCGATGCAAAAAAGAGCAAATACAACGTCACCAAAGGCAAAGAGAATTTCTTGTGGACAGATACCAAAGTTGAGCTACTACTTTCAATCACACAGGAGTACAAAACACGGAAAACTAACGAAGGAGTTTATTGGGACAGTTGCAAAAACAAGTACAGTGAATTAAACGAAATGTTTGTGGAGAAGTTGATGCTTGTTGATCAAACCGAAGGCGAGTATCCACATGAAGTAGTTGAGTTTCAACAAAATCCTGCTAGACTTTCTTGTAAAATCAAACAATTGAGAAATAAATATGCAACTGCTGTGAGAGCTGGGAAGAAAAGTGGTGGGGGTAGACAAGTTTTCAAGTTCTACGACCTCTGTCAGGATGTTTTGGGGGGGAATGCTGCAGCCGAGCAAATACCTGGAGGTATTGAAACTAATCATCATGGTCCTGAACCTATCAGTGGCACAATGGTAAACCAAGAAAATGTTGAACCAAGCCAACAGGAAAACACCATACTTGATTCCGACGAGAATTGCTCTGGAGATGAATTATTTGTTCCAGCAAAAGCACAGCCAACCAAACGCCGTCACCTTATCACTGACTTAAGAAGTCAAAAATTGAAAAAGAAAATCACCACAGACCAGCAAATGATTAATATAGCCCATAAAGAGCTTGTCCTACAAGAAAAAATGATAAGCAAGATAAGTGAAGGTGAAATTCAGCAGGCCAAGGCAATAAAATCACTTTCTGAATCTGTTAATTCAATTGGTCATAGTTTATCTGAGGGATTCTGTAGTATTGCTGCTGTGATGGGTCGGTCGCATGGAGCTGTCAGTTACAACCATTGTCCAATGTCACCAGGATTCCATGTCGCTCGTCAAAATAACCCCAAATTGTTTAACCCATCTATGCCTATTGACAATGAGGATTTTCTTTAAATTAAAAAGGTCAATTGTTAACATGTTTACCACACCTAGTAAGTCTATATCTGATTTGATAGTACTTGTTTTGTTTACATGCCTTGATGTGGTAGAATTTTGTAAAATACTTTGTGCTGTTGTTTTGGACAAAAGTTCAAAAACCTGTTGAATGACATTTTAAAATTATTGGATAAAGTTTATTTATTTACTAATTAATTTACTTACATAATTTATGAATTATATTGTAACAATTTTATGATTTAGTTGACTTGAATTACAATTTAATGTTTATTTATTTACATGTAATTTCAATATTTACATTATCTTGTTTCATAATACAATTATTCAAAAAACATCTTAAAAATGTCTCTGATGACTTTTGCCTCCTTTGGACAAGGCTCAACTTGCTGCAATCTATTTGCTGGTTGTGAATTGAATTCGTTAATGGACTCAACACCAGGTTGAGTGAATTCTTTGTCATAATGTAAAACTGCCTCAACTGTAGAATTATCTAAATTTTGATGATTTAATTCACAATAATTGTGTAATATAAAGCATGCATAAATCAGAGTTGGGACAAACTCTAAATCAACATCAAGCACTCCCTTGAGGCAACCCCATCTACCCTTTAATCGTCCGAAGGCACATTCAATGACCATTCATGCAGACGAAAGTCTAAACCCGAAAAATTGTTCAGCTTCAGTTGTTCCTCCAAGTTCATACTCCTCTATAAGGAATGTGTTAAGTGGATAGGCGGGATCACCTAGCAAACAAATGGGAACGCTTGGTTCACCTTCGATAATGACTTTAGGACAAGGTGGTATGGTTCCATTCTTCAGCATTTTGCATATGGGGGAATTAACAAACATGGTGGCATCGTGGACACTGCCTGGCCATTTAATAACCACATCAATAAAACAATACTTATGATCACAAGTTCCTTGGACATTTAAACTGTAACAGCCCTTTTGATTAATGTACTCGGACGATTTTCCTTTCGGTTGTTTGATACAGATGTGAGTCCCATCTATAGCCCCAATACATTGAGGGAATCCATGTCGTGTATAAAACTGACTGGCTAGGCTGGTTATGTCATTCTCATCAGTAGGGATTTTAATTAATTCTTTCCCAAGTAGCTCTACTATAGCCAAACAAACAGACCGTAGGATTTTTGACAAAGTTGTTTTGCCAATCCCAAATGCATTTGCAACCTGAAAAGATAAAAAAGATATTTGAAGACTGTTTACTACAAATATATTGTCATGGGTCCAAGGGGGCCCATATTTTGGGGCTGTGGACCGGATCTTCCCAGTGAAAACTTTGAAATCTCACCAGACCATGGATAACCCCAGAAATCAAATTGATGATTAAAGACCGACAAAAAGCTTTTCATAGTGGTAACATACCCATATGGCACTCAATGAAGTGCAAAGTCCAACAAGAGATCGCAGAAAGGAAAAAATCTTTCTATAAAAATAAGGTTAAATTCCTACGTAAAGACGACTGCCATAAGTGGTGGAACATTGTCAACAAAATGAACGAGCATGAACTTGTTAAATCCTTAAACGAGTTCTATGTGTCCGTTAATGCCGATATTCCACCACTTGAAGTAAACAAACTGCCAGCATTCCTTCCTGCCAATTAATGTATTCCGACAATTCAACCTTATGAAGTCTGTAAAAAAATGCTTTCAATTAGTCCCTTCAAAACTCACGGCCCAGATGGTATTCCATGCTACCTTGTCAAGAAATTTGCTCATGAGTTAGCGGCACCAGTAACCACCATCTTCAACGAATCTCTTAAATCTGGTATTGTACAGGCAATTTGGAAAGAATCAAATGTTACACCGATCCCAAAAGTACTACCACCTACCAACGAGTCGGACACCAGACCCATTTCATTAACATCTTGTATGTCTAAAATCCTGGAAGACTTTGTCGTTACTTGGTTGATATATGATGTTAGAGATAAAATTGATACAAACCAATTCGGCTGTTTGAAAGGGACTTCCACAACATAATGCCTTTTAGATATGGTGCACAAATGGCTGCTACATTTAGACACTCCAGAAAACCACCTCCGCCTTTGTTTTCTTGACTATTCAAAAGCCTTTGATCGCATAGGGTATAATGTGTTGGTTGAAAAGCTAATAGATATGGTGGTTCGTAGATCCTTGAAACCGTGGATATTAAATTTTTTGACAAACCGGCGGCAACGTGTCAAGCTTGGAGAAATTACCTCAGATTGGCTACCAATATCTGCTAGAGTCCCACAGGGGTCACAGCTTGGTCCCATTTTGTTCCTAGTGATGATAAACAACTTAAACACTACGTCACAAGAATCGAATATATGGAAATTTGTTGATGATGTTTCGCCATCAGAGGGCCTCACAAGGAACTCCAACTCCACCTTTCAGACCAGCCTTGTCAATATAGAAACATGGAGTTCAAACAACTGGATGAAGCTCAACGCAAAAAAGTGCAAAGAAATGCGGATAAGCTTCCTGAGAGAAACACCCCAGTTAACGGAACTACAAGTTGATGGTCAAGCTCTAGAACTTGTTTCCTCTTATAAAGTATTGGGGCTAATATTCCAAAATAATTTAAATGGAATGAACACATTACCACTGTAATCTCCAAGGCTTCCAAATGTCTTCATATTGTCCGAGTACTACGCCGAGGGGGTCTTTCATCTGAAGACCTATATGATATCTACATCGCACTGATCTGATCTATTCTGGAATATTGCCGCCCAGTGTGGCATCATGCACTACCCTTGTATCTCTCGGATAAGTTGGAGCGAGTACAGAAACGAGCCTTAAGGATTATTCTACCAGGACTTTCTTATAGGGAAGCCTTACAAACCCTAGGCTGCCCAAGATTGGACGAACGATGGAGCGAACTTTGTGAAAAAACTTTGAAAAAGATTTCAAAAGGTGGCCCATTATCCCAACACTTCCCCAAGGAAAGGAATTCTGTGCACGACTATCAAACTAGGAACGCTAATAAATACATAAATTTTAAATGTAGGACTGAAAGACTATGTCGTAGCTTTTTTCCTAGCACGATCGAAATGCTAAATAAATAGACAATTTTACTGATTAGACAATTTTAGCACCTAAAATATCTTTTTAATAGAAACATTACCATGACTTGTAACTTAGTGCATCATACTTTCATGTATGAAAATTTTTTTTTTTTAATATTTTAAACAAAACTGAACTAATGTCAAACAAACTAATGTCAGCCAGAAAGTTTTGCCCAGTGCTGATTTGAAATAAGGACTGGATAGCACTTAATGAAGCAAATGGCAACCATATTAGATGGCCCCACATAATTCTACTCTAGTGTTGAGTACATGTTTAAAGAACTTTTACTGGTGGGAAAGGAAATATATTGAAGTCTCTCTTTCTTTCTAAATTTGCTAGTGAATAGCTAATGTCTAATGAGGGCCATCAAATATGACTGCCATAAGCCTCATTATGTAGTATTTAAATCATTCTAAAACTAATTCGAAGAGATCTTGGAAGCTATATTTCACAAGTTACACGGGAAAGTATAATTGCTTCATAGTCTCACCGAACTCAACTAGTCAAGAATTTATATATCTTATCTCATTAAAAATAGAAAGTGGATATTCATCCGACATTTGATATGCTATTTACATAGTAAGATATAAACAAGCTATTTTTAGTGATTGCGGCATCTGCCCACGAGGTCAAAAGCTTTGGATCGAATCCCATCAAAGTTTTTAAAATTTTATTTATTTTTTTACCTTAAAAATGTTTTTAGACTTGTTTTCACTCTCAAACGTGTTGGTTTAGGGTAATAGGGTTTGGTTTAGGGTAAGGTATAGGGTTAGAATCGGTTCATTTCATAAAAAAAACTTCACGCTGGATGAATAGCCGAGTTCCAGTGTCGGATGAATATCCACGGCGTAAAAATTATTCTGGCTTCAAAATCAGGTCAATTAATTCAATAGGATTCTAATGCTTTATTCAGTTCTCATTTCACATCAGTGGTTTTGCAAGACTAAAGTTATTTTTGACTTTTTTAGCCGGACAAATGTCCGATGTCTGGCACTATTTCAAGGATTTTCTTGGCAGGCAGAATATATAAAAATTGTACCATCCATAATATAATAATAATAATATCCTCGATTTCTTTAGCGCACATATCCAAAAGTTCAAGGCGCTTCACAAATAAGAAGAAGTTGATACAATTATTTACATTTATGTACATGCTGTATACTTAAATAAACTTACAGACCCAGCTATATCAATCAAAAGAAAGATACAGGGAACTATTATTAATAAAAAGTTTAAAAAGATAAGTTTTGAGATCCTTTTTAAAAGTCAATATACAGGATGCCTTTCGCAAACTGTGTGGAAGTTTGTTCCATAGTTTTGGAGCACATACAGCGAAGGATCTGTCACCATAAGTTTTACTTTTGGAAGAAGCCACCAGTAAAAGCTCATTTGCAACTGAACGGAGGGATCGGGTGGATGTTCGATGTTGCAAACAACTAGACAAATAGAGTGGACAGGCTCTGTTCATTGACTTATAAACCAATAGAAGAATTTTAAAAACGATTCGGTAGTGAACAGGAAGCCAATGTAGTTGAATTAAGAGTGGTGTGATATGATCATATTTCCGAGACAAGGTAACAATCCGAGCAGCCGAATTTTGGACTGATTGCAGCTTCAAAAAAGACGTTTAGGCAAGCCGTACATGAGTGAATTACAGTAGTCCAACTTCGTTGTTATCAAGGCATGGATTATGACCTCCACTGATTTTTTTGTCAAATATTTGCGAATTCTAGAAATATTCCTCAAATGAAAGAATGAGGACTTGTAAACTTTCTTAACATGATCATCATAGGAGAGTGTCTCATCCATAATCACACCAAGATTGGTAGCCGAACCCGAAAAAGGAATCAAGTGATTTCCAACTTTGATTGAATCGCGGAGCGAAGGACAAGGTCGAAACTTCGAGTGCATAAGAACTGATATTGTTTTATCATCATTGATCTTTAATCCATTAAAGAGCATCCACCGGCGTATTTCAACTATACAGTTTTCGATACGAGCCTTCACCAAGTCGACGTCACTATCCGCCTCAAAGGACACATATAGCCGAGTATCATCAGCATATATATGATAATCAAGATCATACCTCCTAATGATATCAGCCACAGGGGCAGTATAAAGCAAATAGAGAATGGGGCCGAGGACAGAACCTTGTGGAACTCCATATTTGAGATTGTGGGTGGAAGAATAAGTGCCATTGACATTGACAAACTGACTACGAGATGACAAGTACGATTTAAACCAAGCAAGAACATTTCCACTGATTCCGAATCGTTCAGCCAATCTAGATAATAAAATCTTGTGCCCAATGGTGTCGAATGCAGCAGATAAATCAAGAAGAACGAGGATGACCGATTGCTTCTTGTCCAAAGACTGCAAAATATCATTTTGCACCCTTAATAGAGATGTCTCAGTGCTATGAAATGACTTGTAGGCTGACTGAAAGACTTCATGTAATTCATTTTCGACAAGATATTCATTGAGTTGAACAAACACAGCCCTCTCGACAAGCTTTGACAAAAATTTAAGATTCGAAACTGGTCTAAAGTTTTGAAACATGTCAGAGTCAGCATTGACCTTCTTTAATAATGGATCTAACATTGCGATCTTTAAGGGTTCTGGCATTACTGCACTTTGCAAAGAGAGGTTAAGTATCCTAGTGTAAATAGGAAGTAACGATTCATTGCATTCTTTCAATACCAAAGTAGGAGCCAGGTCAATTAGGCAGGACTTCATCTTAGAATTACTAAGTAGCTTACGCACATCACTATCTGTCACTTGTCTGAAAGTATCAAATACCGACATAGGACTTTTCTCTGTAATAATGGGTGCAACAAGAAGATTCTTTGCTAACACGATTTCATCATGAATTTTTTCAATTTTAGTGGTGAAGTAATCAGCAAATGAATTGGCTAGGCTTTTGTCGTCATGTTCTTTCGGATATTGTCGATCAGTATTCTTCTGTAGCAGCTTATTTAGTATTTTAAATAGTAATTTAGAGTTGGAAGAATTTTCTTCAATCAAGTTGTTGTAGTATAATTGCTTGGATTCGTAGATCAAGTTATTAACAACTTTACACTGGTTTACAAAAGCTGCTCTATCGCTCAATGATTTAGACGAGCGCCATTTCCTTTCAAGTTGGCGATGAAGCCTTTTTGCTTCTGTGATATTGGCATTATACCATGGTGCCCTCGGACGAATGGTAATTGTACGTCACTTCATAGGTGCATGTTTGTCCAAGAGAGAGCCTAAAAGAAGACAAATCACTTGTGTCACTCATAAGATTTGATTCATTAACGTCAGAATTGAACAAATTAAAATCGATGCGTTTTATTTTACGGCAAACAATGACCTTACGACGCGGTGGTTTGGTCAAGTTCAGACAAAAATTGATCACCGAATGATCAGATATTGCATGATCAACAACACACAAATCATTAAGAAATGAATCTTCAAGATCATCACGTACTATAACCAGATCCAATATCTGTCCGTATACATACGTTGCCTGAGTTACCAATTGTTTAAAGTTAAACGATTCAATTATGTCCATAAACTGTTTCGTGTGAATGTCGTTCTTGTCATCAATGTGGAAGTTAAAATCACCGAGAATTAAAAACTCAGAAGTGGAGATAACAACCTCCTCAAGCAGAGTTGAGAATTCATCCAAGAACAGGTTAACAGACAGACCATTGACAGCAGAGCATGGTGGACGGTAAATAACAAGAGTCCGGATATTATTCGAGCTTGCAAATGTAACATCAAGGCATTCAAAAGATCTAAATTCACTATGATACGTAATATGTTCAATGCCGATGTTTTCTTTATATAGAAAACCTACACCCCCACCGGTGCATGAGATTCTCGGTTTATGCACAAGTTTATATCCAGTAGGACATACTTCACGGATAATTAGATCATCACCATTGTCACGAAGCCAAGTTTCAGTTATAGCCGTAATATCAACATCATAGTCAACAACAAAGTCTTTGATAATCAAAGTCTTATTCCGTATTGATCTTGCATTAAGTGTGGAAAATTTCAAGGACCCAATTCAATAGTGATAGTCAAAATTTTCAGTTTCACTACAAAGCTGCCAACTGGAAACATTAAAAATGTTCCCATAATTTATCTTCAATTATTTAGTTAAGCAATTTACTTTAAAGCTTTACCTTTTGAACTTGCTTCCTAATATTGAAGACACTGATCCAGACATGAAGAAACAAAACAACACACGATGAAACATGCCCATAAATGAATAAATAGAGGAAAGGCACCAAAATTGAAAAAGGCACCGACGACGCCATCTTGGATTAAATCACGACGAAGTCTGGAACTAACCTCGTCCCCAGGGCCTTCCTCGTTGTAGAGTGCGGCTGAGGAAGACCCTGCAAAAATACGATGAAAGGTGGTTCAGCATGGTCTCTTCCTACGATATATAATAATTGTGGATTACACATTCTACCCGATTTATAATAATTCTAAAAAGAAGATGTCTTTTTACCCTAACCCCCATCCCCAAACCCCAATCCTAATCTTAACCCTAACCCTAATGCCCCAGAAAAAAAATTAAAAGTGTCCCCACCCTGGCGCAACCAGCCACCCTTCTTTAGAATGTGTAATCTAGAATAATTCTATATCGTAGGCAGAGACCATGTTGAAAGGTTATATCATGTTACGCGCGCGAAAGTGCCACGATAAAGCCAGGGGGGCAGGGGTTATGGTCAAGATCAAAGAGAAATAAATTTGTGCGTGTGACACAACGATATTACCGAGATTTTATTGTATTTTACCAGGGTCTTCCTCAGCCACGCACCATAACGAGGAAGGCCCTGGGGACGAGGTTGGTCGCATACATGCATCTACAGAATTATTGCACCAGGAACTAAAAGGCAATAAACAGATAAAAATTTAGGTACGCTATGGGGTACATGCGTCTACTAGAATGGTAGATGGTGGGATAGTAGATATAGAAATGAAAACGATTTAAACTTGAAAGGCTACTTTATTACAATTTCTACCCTAATTTGTATGATATAACGAAGTTTCAAATGGACATGTATTTCTACGTGGAGCTATGGGGTGTTGGAGACTGACAGACCAAGTGACATTTAATTGGGTTTAATAGTTACGAAATATGATCGAGGTAAAGCACACATGCACGTAACATAATGTGCCAATCACTTGTCAACAAACTTGGATAAAGTCGGATAGTGTGCCAATAACTGTGAGACGAGAGAGAATAAGATGTGAAATAGCACGGTGATTTGGGACATGTAGCTTTAATATTAAATTTTTTAAGTTGTCATCATCTCGTGCAGTTATACGGCATTCTTCATATTGCATTCCGCTCGTATTATTGACAAAACCATTCTATTGAGTACTCGTGTTATTTACAAAACCATTTATGGATAACAGTGGAACTAACCGTAGATAACCGACTTTCGCCCAATGCTCGCAATGCATTACATCGATACGTCATCAATCTGTCATCAAATGTGCTTTTCCCGACATAACCCTAGTCTGGTCCTGACAATGCTTCTACTGATCAAAGATCAGTAGATGCAAAAAGTGCTAATAAGTTCATGTTACAGTCACGAATATAAAGTAAAATGTGATTAGATGCCTAACCCTAATCCTAACGTATAACCTTATTGGCTTATAAATAAATTCCTAATCATAACATGAACATAGAATTATTAAACCCAAAAGTGGATTTTTATTCATTAATTTCCATTCATTTCCAAATAATTTTCATATCAAAGACAAAAAATATAAAAGAAAGTAACATAGATGTCATTAAGTGGCCAAATTTAGTAGTAAAGGGGAGAAAAAATAGCAAAAAATAACGACCCTTCTGCAGAGCCTTTGCTGCAAAGTTGTGAGATCTAAAATCTCACTTTCATTGTCGATTACCTGAATGAATTTGTTTCGACTTGTTTTCGATTATCCAAAGGTAAAAATTTGTCTGATCTGTAGAATTGTTTGCTGGACGACGTCTTTGTGATCATGGGAACAAATAGGAGCCGAATTTATGACCTTGGTGTCGTACCGACCTGAGATAATAACTGTTCTAATTGCGTATAGCTAGAGGTCATGCTGGTCACTCATAGTGAGGATCACTTAAAACGTCATTTTCGGACAGCAGTAGCATCTAGCTACATTCTAGCTGTTTTGCTATGATAGACTATATTATGATAACAATTTTAAAAATTTCAAAACTAAGAGAAATGAAGCTTTTTGCACAATATAATTTATGGGTGGACGCATAAAAGAAAGCGGAAGACAACACACAAATTGACGAGTTAAGGCAGTTAACGCATTCGCCACACCGCCTATATTTACATTATTTAACAATGATTCGCCGAAGGTGAGGTGATTATCGGTGAATAAAAACCGAGATGAAGTTGGGGTTTCTATTCACGATAATCACTGAACCTGAGGTGAATAATTGTTTTAGTATAATTTCATAGGTGATTATTTCGAAAAAAATAAAAAACACCCATTTCTTCGTCATTTGATTGACAAAACGGCTTCGGCCGCCATTTTGAAAATCGCTTAGGTGATTATCGCGTTATAATCACCTCAACGGCAACCAATCAGCGTGGAGAATTTTCAATAATCACCTATGTAATTATACTAACAACATTTATCGCCGGTTGACGACAAATTCTGAACCTAGCCTATATATCTTAAAAATCCATGATATTCTTCAGAATTCGATTTGGATTTTCAAGATGCATACTCAAGATGCGTTTTAATTTTATATCAAGACTAGTAAAGGCAAAAAAAATCATAACATCGTTTCGCCATGTCTATGACATTTAATACGAAATATTGTAAACTTATAAAATATATAAAATAATACATAGACTTGATGTTCTAATGAAGAAAATATATATAGAGATTATATCAATTTTGGTATATAAATAGATACACGAATTAAATAACGACTATAAGACTAACGACTACATAAGTAAATATTATGCATAACGCAAGGTATGACGGGTAACTTCTCATTTCAAATCCACATTGCATTGCTACTATGGCAAGGCACATAATAAGCACTTACAAACTATAGCTGGCGGTGTGCTATGGTAAAAAGAAGTTATCCATCACTCTTGCGCGCTTAGAGTTTTGTTTTAGAATTTTTGAGGGACCAGTTTTTTTAATTAACTGTACACAGTTATTTAACTAAACTCTGAGCACGCAAAGGTTGATGGGTTAATTCTTATTCAGACCCCAGAACTTGAAAATTTTAACTTTTAATCGATACATATAGGCACATGGAAAACTTACGAAAACGAACTTGTTACACTGAACTAAGCCGTAGCATGAGTTTAAAAGACTGAATAAGCAATAAACTACCAACCCTTGCGGGATCAAATTCTATACGCTTAATTCTCCAGTTACACAATACCTGATTCGCATCGGAACGACGTCAACTTAAAGGACCAGTGTCACAATATGCGCATCTTTTCTGCGCATAATAAAAATACTTCAAAAATTGTCCAAAATCGACCCAATGCTGTAGTCGGTTTAGTTTTGGGGCAAACAAATGATGACAGATGAGAAAGGAGCAGTTATCTCGACTGCGTGTGTTTTCTAAGCATGCCAACTTGTGAAAAAATACAGGCTATAGTTTTTCAAGTTTGGCGATCCAAGATAATGATGATTCAATCTTTTTAACATCTGTCATTACTCTTTGGTTTTAACTCTGAAACAATGATTAACTACAGTGTCTGAGCGATTTCCAACAATTTCCAAGCTTTTTCCTGTTATGTGCAGAAAATATGCGGAGACGATGACACTGCGCCTTTAAGCCCAGTTATCATTCATCGCAAACTGTCACCGACGATCGGCGACGCTTATTACCGAAAGTTCATGATTTCTGTCAAACTTCAGTTGATTATTTCCTTGCTAGTTTGTTGAGGAAAAAACAACTTTTACTCATTTCTCATAGATTTTTAATTAGCAGGTCGCAGTCGGCGAAGATCAGCGATTGTCGCAAGAAACAAACTTTTTTGTGATCCTGCGATGTCATCGCCGATGGTTGGCGACGATCACGAACAATCAGCGATATAATTTTTGATGTGTTCTCATAAATCGCAAGCGGTCGCCGATGTCGCGAAACTCCCATCGCCGATCTGTTCTGTTCTAACAACTTTACATACATGTTTTTGTTTAATTCTGTTATGCAGTGTGTATAAAAAAAGTAAGACAATTTTGAAATTGCTATATGGATTGTTTAAGTGCTTAAATTTTAGAAAATATTAAAATTTTTGAAAATAGTGAATTTTTTCGAACCAGGGGGTCGTCGATTTTTGCTCTCCTAAAAGTGGCTTGCGCATAAAGATTAAAAGTTTAAAACACATTTTCATTCAACAGGCGTAAAATATGTTTTGTGTTTTATGGTGAAAATTTCACAAACTTTGCTTAATTCGAAGTCCTTCAAACAGCCGTGCAAACTTTGCTAATTATTCCTGTCATGCGTAATTTCCTCATGCCCAAACCATACCGCGCACATGTGCACAGCTATTTGAAGGACTTAAATTTGAGAAATTTTGTGAAATTTTCACCATAAATAAAACTCATAACAATTCAACCGACGTTCACTCAAAATATGTTTTAAGCTTTTAATTTTCGTATGCAAGCCACTTTTAGGAGATCAAAAATCGAAAACCCTGGTTCGAAAAATTTACTATTTTCAAAAATTTTAATATTTTCTATAATTTAAGCACTCAACAATCCATACATATCAAAAATCACATTTCATAAACAGAATTGTGGAATTGAGAGCAATTTCAAAATTGTCTTACTTTTCTTACACCGTGTATTATCGTAATTTTGTCACCTCGAAGCAGTTGCCGCTCCGATACCAATCCGGTGACGTGTAACTGGGGCTTTAAGCTTTTCGAAGGACAACCTTAATTGAATTAGCTGTATATATACGGTACATACATTAAAAATGTAAAATTTTGAATGAAAATTTCGAAATTTTGCGGGTTTTTCAGTGTTTGACATATAATATTAGACACCTCCTCTAAATTGGCAAAGTGTGGTACAAGAAAAATCAGAAGTTGCTAATTGTTGTTGTTAGTTGCTAATCAGAATGTACAAGAGAAATCAGAAGTTGCTAATTTGCTAAGTAACAAATTTGCATTAACAAAAAAGCTCTGTTTCGTAAAGAAATTGAAAATTGATGATGGTAGTAGG